TTAACAATAAAACGCCTCTTTTTTTGGCTTTAATTTAATAAAAATTTCATTATTACAATACGAATAAGCTTCGCATAAAATAATCCCTCGATAAGTATCAACAGCGCACTCGTATGCACAGGCTGTTAACTTCCGTTAACTTAACGCCTGAACTATCATAGTTTGGCACGTAATTTGAAAATGTTCATTTCGCGTTGGGTTCAAACGCGACGTGGGTGCGAAACGGAAACTCTCTCTCCGCGCTATTCATCTTTTTTCGACAGGTTGGGAAAAGATCGAGGATGGTTTCGGAACACTCATTTGTCACCGGGCTTTTTTAATTTTACTTGGGACCGATGTTTCCCCCGAAATTACTTTTATCCTTTTATCCTTTTTCAATTTCTCATCAAATGCCCTTCTTCGAGACATTGAACGAAACTCATTTGCGAAAATTATATTATACTTCTGTGGGAAGAAGACTCGAAAAATTAACGAGCTTGAAACAAACAGAAATTCCTTAGAATAATAAATTTATGCCATGTTGAAAATTATGTAATAAAATTTAGGGAATCTCTGATCCCTAAATTTCATAAAGATTAAAATAGATTCAAAAAGACGCTGACTCGAGAAACTTGATTTACGAATTACACGAGTGTAGAATAATACAAGCGTTTAATTTTTATGTTTCATACTTATCTCTACAAGCTATCGACCAATTTCATAAATAATCCCAACGGAATTTGTTTCATTGATAACATTACTACTCCAGTGAAAGCAATGTAAAAGTAGAAATCTAAATACGACGGAGGTATTTTCACTGTTTTGAAAAAGAAGAAAATCTAATATCTCAAACGTGACAAAGGAAACTATGTCTTGAATTTGTCAAGAGTGAGTTGCACAATTGTTAAACATTGTAATAAACATTTCGTAACTGTATAATATCACACAATTAAATTTCTAACTTAATTAAGTTTGTCAATGCCAACACTAGAGCAACTAAAAGTGTCAAATCAATTTATAACTTTCTGATGAAAATTTTATATATAATTTTAGATACTCGAGATAGATAGAGGATTAATAGAAGCTTGCTGTATTATCAACTTTCTCACCTATCTCTTGCACTTTAATTCCTTTGCTACAAATATTAATAACTTTGGTCGTCGATAGTTCTAGGGTTAAACCGATTTTTTTCAACAACCAATTCGCTCGTTAATTTACAAAACGAGTATTTGCAGAAATGAAACTGTAACAAAAAAAAAAAAAAAAAATACAAAACAATGCCCGTTAAACCCACTGTTAAAGATTTACAGACGCTTTTAATGCCAGTTTGAAAGCGAGAGTCGTTCCCCTCCGAAAAAAATCAACGATTCTTTCCCTTTTCCCGCGCTCTGTCTCCTCGGCAGAGTGAAAAATCGCTGAGACTTATTAAACGGGAAAGTTTGTCGTGCAAGATGTAATATATGTGCGGCCATCGGGCAAGAAAGTTTTGACGAGAAACCGACTGCCGGCTGCGTTATTATTGCCGATAAATTATCCTGGCTCTGCCGGCGGAGAGCTAATCAGGGTGTAAAGTTCGCATGCGCGTACGCGAGTTGCTTCGAATCACGTCGATTCGATCGATTTATGCGTTACGTGTCTCCTCGATCATTCCCCACTGCCATTACCAGTTGGAAAAATTCTAACATAATCGTGGGAAAATTAACACATTGTTCCATTCATTTATTTCCTTCTCATTATTTTACACGTATTACTTTGATCCGATTGACCATCGAAATTAGGTTAGGTTTTGATCCAATAGTGAAGTAAAATTGTCACCACGATCGATAGTAAAGTGAAAAACTTACACTCCAATTTTTTTTTTTTTTATTGTCGAAGGACCACTATTGCTAAAAAATATTTATCCATCCTTGAGATATTTTAATTCCACAGTTATTATGATTTAATCTTCATCTGAACTTCATCGTTTTTTTCTGTTTTTTTTCTTTTTTTGAGAAATCGATTAATTTCTCGAGACATTCAAAATCCTTGGAATTACACTTCCAAACCCAAGAAGAATCAGCTTCCAGAATATCCAAATATCCTCGTCCTCCAATTGAACGATCGAATCTTCAAAAAAACAAACAGCGATCCTTCCAATTCTTCTCTGAATTACATTTTCCTTTCTCTCTCAGCGTGGATAATTCGTGGCGATAAGCCCGTCGTCGATGAGAACGTTTATCGTCGAGAGACAGAGAGAGAGAGAGA